TAAAGCAGCCAAGGATAGGGTTATTCTTGCTGCTTTAAATCCCCCAGCCAATCTCTCAGATTTTGTCAAATAAGTTCTTCTGGGCATTTCCTTCCAAAATAAGTCAGTTTCATCAGCATTAAATACCTGATCAGGAACAAGAGTTTTCTTCAATATTTTTTGTCAGTTTTGCCGGATATTATTTTGCCAATTTTTCATCACCGGAAGCAATTTCTCCGTTAATTAAGTTGAATGTTATGTAGATTGTGTGTGTGTGTGTTTTTTTTTTGAAGTCTTCAAACCATTCTTTGCTTGCACTAAATTCTGTAGTGGATGGAATTTGTTGCTTTTCTTTTAGAGAGCTAAAAGATTAATTGCTTTGTGTCTTATCAAATTAAAATCCACTGGTACTTTTTTTTTATTATTATCCTCTATCCAAATTACTAAAGCTTTTTCTACTGCTTCTATTAAATCATCTCGTTTATATGTAGAAAACTTTGTGCTTACAGTAGTTCCACTGGCTACACTCTTTCGAATAGAATCTTCCATTCACTTTATTGTCCCCTCATTCATTCCATATTCTTTTGCTATGGATGTTGAACCCTGTCCAGATTTTAGTTTGTCTAAAATTTCAATTTTCTTTTCCAAACTAATTGTTTGTCTTTGCTTGGGAATCTTTTTTCTTTCTGTCGACATTATAGGGCTATAAAAATATTAAAACAGTATTATGAAATAAATTATTAAAAATACAAACTCTTTTCTTGCCCTCCAATGGATACTCATTAAAGGGTTTAGATTGTATCCATTCCAATTACTGGGCCTCAGTAGAGTCCCGTGTTGTTATTTTTCATCACTACCTCCCTGGGAGTGGGTAATTTGTGTGCCTGCTGCCTTCCTTGGATGTGGTAGCCGTTTCTCAGGCTCCCTCTCCGGAATCGACTTTTTTCACCTGTTATTAGAATTCACTTTGGCATTTTCTTTCTTATTCTTCTTAACAGGAACTGTCTGGACCCAAGATAACTTGAGTTAATTTAAATAATCATACATAACATTTTGTTGCTCAAAATAATTCAAACAATGCTTATTTACATTCTATTGAATGTTGTTTATGACCTCAGCAAGTTTCATAATTTTACACCCAATAGAAGTTTGTTTTGGACCATTTTTTTGGTCCCTAAAAAGAGATAGTGTATTGGATCAAAAAAATTGTGATGTATTTGAGTATTTACAGTAACTGATGCACATCTGTCTAGAAACCTGTCTTCCCCTGAGATTAGTATGAGAATAACCCACGAAAGGCTACCAACAGCTGTCTCAAAAACTTTTTTGTTTTCATTTAAAAAACCATGTAAAAGCGAAATTGTGCAAATTGAGGGATAGGTGTATATATCTCTACCACTTGATTCTTATACTGCTCAGTTACATCTACTATTATAACTATTGAGATTGCAACAAAATGTCACACTGTCAGATTTCGAAATTGACAGGACTGAATGAGAGAGAGTTTACATTTAAGTTAAACATGCTAGTGAGGTTGCGACTAAAGTTTTCATGATTTTGATGATATGAAACCGTACTTTGCAATTCGTTTATGCTTCTAACACAATAAAGTGCTATAAATTAAGACACTTGGAGGGTTGTCTCATCTTTATTTAGTATATCAACTAAATAAAGATGAGACAACCCGCCAAGTATCTTAATTTATAGCACTTTATTGTGTTAGAAGCATAAAGTTTTCATCTCTAAAACGTAAACGTTGAGTGTCACTTACAAGACAGCGGTGCTTGACATTCAACATTCACGTTTTAGAGATGAAAACTTTAGTCATAACCTCACTATTACTTCTAATTCTTTCTCAACAGATTTCTTGTTTGTCAGTAGAATTTCTTCTGTCACCCTCAAATTTCTTTCCTGCAGATGTGTTGATGATTTAGGTCTTTCTGTGATGTTCAGTGACTTTTCTAATTTTTTTAACCTTTGACCCTATCTCTCTCCATTTTTTCCTGGGTGTCTCTTCTTGGCCAGGACTCTCTCTCTCTCTCTCTCTTTCTTTTTTTTTTTTTTTTTTTTTGGAAGGTGTCTTTAACAAAGGAACTCGTCTAATTAGAATTAAAGATATATTAGTTGAGCCAATGTATTTTAGATGTCTCAAATCTAACATTGTATATAGGGATGGAGTATAGTCCCAGGGGCTTCATTTGGGTCAACATAATCCTTACCATTACTTAATCTGTTTGTGCCTTGTTTTTGCAGGTAATTATGTTTGTTAAATGTAAAGAAGGATGTGTAGCATAGTATAGCATTTAACAACAACCCATACAGATTGATTTTAATGCTAGACCAGATTAGCAACCTAGAAGCCCATTTCCTAGACATTAATATCAGTTTCAAGAATGGTCTGGTGAACACAAATGTCTACTACAAGCCTGGCCATATACCACTTTACATACCAGCTATCCCTAATGACCCAGATACATATAAATTAGCCGCATTCAGAGCATTAGTAAAATGAGCATATACACACTGCTCCAGCATTAATGACACCTTAAAAGAGCTAGAATGTGTGGAAAAGTTTGCAATCAAACATAAAACAGTAAAAAACTTATTAGCAACATAGCATGCAATCTGGACAAAAACAGAGGGGTGCAATCACAAGCACAGGCAAATAAATACATAATATTAGATTATTGTAGTAGGCTAAAACCTGTATATATTTTAATTGCTAAATATACAGGATATTATATATCATACAAATGAGGGCGACTGTATACAGATTAATAAGTAATGGTAAGGATTACATTGACCTAAATGAAGCCCCTGGGATATACTCTATCCCTACATACAATGTTAGATTTGATAGACATCTAAAATACGTCGGCTCAACTATTAGATCATTAACATGCAGAATCAATGAGCATAAATATGATACCAACAAAAATAATTTAAAAACCACTCTTGTCCAATATGTAGGTGAGCCCAGGGTATCAGCAGATTTCAGCAAACCCAACTTATAAAATGAGTATATGACAAATGCAAACTAAAAATAGCTGAAATATTGAAAATATTTAAATCTACATTAACAGAACATTACATTAACAGCAGAGACTGTGAGTCTCTATCCTATGCATGGAGATTGCTATTCGAAATCCCCTTAGAAAGGAGGGGCAACAAAAACTCATAACAAAATGTGAAACATGATGTCACTGTAGCACTTCAAATAATTTTAATTTATTTACTTTTATTCTTAACTGTACTTTTTTTAGTATATTATGATTTTTTAAATTTATATATTATTTTTATTATAACTTAATCAATAATCTTATTAATATTTTTAAATGTAATGTAATATTGTTTCAAATTGAATCTCTTTTCAAAAAACCTGATGAAGGTTTATCAATAAAGCCAAAAACGCTAGTTTGATTAAAGAGTAATTTGCTGGAAAAGTACATAATTTGTGTGTCTCTAGTTAGTATACAGGGTAAGTCATAAGTCTCCATACAAATGGTGAAAGCAGTGACTAATTTCTTTTTTGTTTTCAGGAAGGTGAACCAATTGAAAAGAAATGCCACTAACAAAGGAATAACGGATTGACATTATTCTGTTGCATCATATGATACCATTTGTACGAATAAAATAAACATTAGTCATTGCTTTCACCATTTGTATGGAGACTTATGACTTACCCTGTAGTTCCAGCTTATGCCAGTATTGATATTTCAGCAAATTTAGATGTATTCATTTATCTTTTATATTTTTAAGTTTATTGTGTTCTTATGCATATATATATACAGGTATACCTCGCCTTACGTCGGTAATTGGTTCCAGGAAAACGACGTAAGTCGAATTTACCTGTCTCCGAATCTACTTATCACTAGGAAAGCATTTTAAATAATATATGGTTAATAAAAATCTATTTTAAGCTTACAAACAAATAAATTTTAGTTTTTAATATAGTACAAAAAAAGTAATCTAAATTTATGAATGCATGTACTGTAAATACAGTACATACTTGTATATATTTTAATATGATTTTATGTGCTTTAAACGTTTATCTAGTGATATTACGACTTCAATATTTGTGGCGGACAGACGTAAAGTCGAATAAAATGACTTAAACTTGATTTTTATTTTTCCATATACTTTTTTAACAAGCAACGTATAATCGGGAACGACGTAACTCGAAACCGACGTAAGTCGAGGTATGCCTGTATATATATACTGTTTTTATATACAGTCGACCCCCTTATAACACGGGTTCCTATAGTTTGGATTCCTATATCGTGGCAAAAAAATTGCAACAGTATTCGTACAAACACACTAAGAAAACTCCTATAATTCAGTAAAACGTCATCACCGACTCATTTTGCGACAGAATTGGTCGAATCTAGACCAATAGCGGATATTGCACAAACCGTTGAGTTTAAATGAGCAGCGAACCTACTAAAAACCATTTATTATTTAACATCCATAAAAATTATATTTATATTAATGATGTCTCCAAAGTTCAGTGAATTTTTCGCAAAAAAAATAATTTATCAGGAAGCACGCGAGCACCATTCGATGACAAGCTCCACGACGAGAACAAGCTTAAGCAATGGCGTAGTCGAACGGTGCACACTCGGTAAGTAATCCTACAATTTGTCTAGAATCTATTAATTTTATGGAAGAAATCTTTCAAACAGCTGTAGTCCGTAAACTGCATACGTGCCTGGTTGTGATTGGCTGGACTTGTAGAAAATGGATTCATAAAAACCGGAACGTATCTACCGTGTTATAGGGGGGTCGACTGTGTGTGTGTGTGTGTGTGTGTGTGTGTGTGTGTCAAATAGAAAAACATATTCTGAATTATTAGACAGTATTTGAATGTCTTCAAGGTATTTTTGATATGATTACTTTTATTTTTATGTAGAGTATAATGATAAAAGCAACTACATAATATAGTTAAATTATTCTTATTTTTTCTATAAGTATATGTATAATGTCAAAATATCAAATTTTAATATTAATTTATTATTTTGAAGGTTTGGTGAAATAGAAAAGATAAAATCTGATTTGGAAGAATGTTGTATATGCATGGATAAAAAGCCCAATATCATGCTACCTTGTACACATTGTTTTTGTTTGCCTTGTATTGAAACCTGGTAAGTGTAAAATTACACTGAAGGCATTGTAGCTTTATATTAACTAATACATCTTCAACACACATTATATTGAATTTAAAAAATTTAAATTATTATTATAATAAAATTATATTTTTGTAATACAGAATTTAAGACACTTGCTAATCCAAATTAAATATTATATGGGGTTGTATGGATTATCAGAAAAATAATAACAACTTGATTCAGAGTAGAGTTTCAATTAGTGAAAGTATACTGTATTTATATTAACATTAATTAATTAATAATAAAACTGGACATTAATGAATAGATATTCTATACTCATTGCCAATGAATTAGAAACAGCAGTTTAATATTTTATTGGATAACCTTTAGCTTGAATTACATCATTTACTTGATTTGTGTTAAGATTAATCATATTTATTATTATAAGCTGCAGATTAATCATATTTATTATTATAAGTCAAGCGCCACCTGTGTTTTTTTTGTGTAGAAATCCAAGTCGGATGTGTGCAGGTCAATAAAAAAAAAGCATTTGTTCTCGTTGATTAATCTTGCCGTTTTTTTTTTTGATTCGTTCACGGTTACACGATAATACAACAGGTTATGGGCCCAGGACCCGTGAATGAATCTCGACAGTCGAATTTGTCTAAGAGAAAGGAAAAGGCATAAATTGAGAACAGCAAGTTGTGTCGAGACACGTGTCAGCCATACCTTCATTCATCGTCTGCAATTGCCATCTTTGATGAGCTTCAATCGTCGGTCAACTTCGTCAGTTTTCGTAAATGATTGTGAATTGCTACCTGTTAACCGTAAGTGTATTTAGATAAGATACAAAATTAATTAAGTCAGTAAATTATTTAGTCTGTCAATATGGATATCATAAAATCTCAAATGGAAACTTTGTCAGAAGATTTGTAAGTTCGCCGACTTTGGGGGCAATGCGTTAATTGCGCGTCAGGAAAACCTAGGGTCAAGCCGTATGTGGGTGGTGGCGGTAGGAGACAAAGATGACAAGTGTCTTACATGAAAACCGTTTATTTTGACAATAGATTAACTTACACAATGGGTATGACAAAAATTAATAAGCTAGACGTCCGGTGGAGATGCACCAGGGCTTGAACGAGGTAGACTGGTGATCTTGCGTACAATGTCGTACAATGTCCGGTGATTCCGGTGCATGAGATCTTGTCTCCTTCCTCCAGGGATGCGACGGAGCTCGGATGTGGTGGCGTCCTGGATACTTGGGTCCAGTGCATGGCTGAGACTCGGCTGCCAATCTGCCCTTTGTCCTTGAGACCCGGGGTTTTTATAAGATTTTCCCACAAATCTCATCCTCTTGATTGGTCCTGTTCACCCTCTCCCTTACCCCGATTGGTCACTCTTTTTGTTTCTAGGCGAAACCCGAGACTGATTCGGGTCGGAGAGGTGATGACAGTCTTTTGATGTTTGCACTTGTATTTTACTCCGTTATGGCCCTTTTCTCTGTCATCTTTGAACCTAAACGGTCCACCAGATATTCTTGTGGCCATTTATCCCCCTACCACGTTCTTACTTAACAGATGTCCCTTTTGTTCTTAGACCCCCCTTTCTCGATTGCTTCGACCCGACACTTGTTCGCGAGCATCTCGACAAAGCTCTTTCCCTCTGTCGACATTCCCCCCTGCTGGTTTATCATCGCGCCACGTGTGTTTTACAATTTGAAAAGTTTTCGTCCCATCTGGGTTCTGTCATTAACACACCCTCTTGACCCGACTCTATCCTCAAAACTTTCCAACGTAAAAGTTTCATAATTAGTTGTAATTTTGACGTGCTTTTACGACCCTCACAGATTCGCAGGGAAATATTAATTATGTTTCATGGAAGTTTAAACTAAATCTTACATTGAGATCGAAGGATTTGTATGACATTGTGAACAGAAGTGTTCTTAAACCTGAAGATGCGAATAATGCGGCAGATGTTGCAGCATGGATTTAGACGCTCAAGCTTGTATAGGTTTAAATGTGAGCAGTAATATCGCAAAGAAAATTGCAAATTGCACTTCTGCGTATAGTATGATACACAAATTAGAAACCTTGTATGGTAAAAGGTTCGATCTCACAATTGAAGGGTAACAGAGAAATTTTTTTAATTATAAGTATGATTCAAGCAAATCTGTAGTGAAGAATTGCTTATCAGTTCAACAATATGCAGAAGACTTGAAAGCTGAAGGAGAAACAATTAAAGAAAGCTGGATTATGACAAGAATACTCAGAATACTGCTACCGAAACTATACCACCTCAGGACGTCATGGGATAATGCTAATTCAATGGACAAGAACATTGACACCTTAATTGAACGACTTCAACTGGAAGAAGACAGATTGAAGGAAGATGACAAGAAGGGATCAATCACACAGAATGCTCTCATTTCAAAGCAGAAAATGCAAGGTAACAAGGACAAAAGTCAGCAGAAAAGTTCAAGAATGTTTCAAATGCGGACAAAAGGGACACGTAAAGAAATATTGCAAGAATAAGCCGTGTCAGAAATATTTGGAGTATTGCAGGAAAACTTATAATTGTAACAACTGCAATCAAAAGGGCCATTTCGCAATGGAGTGTATAAATGAGAAGTCAGATGAATCAAAGAAAGGAGACAAGATCAAAGGACAACAACGAGCTCTTGTCACTGTAGGATTGACATCAATGAAAATAAATGACAAGAACTCAAGACGAAATCGACAGGATATTTGGTATCAAGGTAGTGCTGCCACACAGCACAAGACCTTCAGGAAAGAATGGCTGACAAACTATAAAGCGCTGAAGGAGTATACGAAGGTGATACTTGGGAACAACACAGAAATCAATGGGATCGAAGTAGGTGACGTCAAACTTGGTATTTGGTATCAAGGTAGTGCTGCCACACAGCACAAGACCTTCAGGAAAGAATGGCTGACAAACTATAAAGCGCTGAAGGAGTATACGAAGGTGATACTTGGGAACAACACAGAAATCAATGGGATCGAAGTAGGTGACGTCAAACTTGGTATTTGGTATCAAGGTAGTGCTGCCACACAGCACAAGACCTTCAGGAAAGAATGGCTGACAAACTATAAAGCGCTGAAGGAGTATACGAAGGTGATACTTGGGAACAACACAGAAATCAATGGGATCGAAGTAGGTGACGTCAAACTTGAGGCCTTTAATGGAAGGGAATGGTATCCAGCAACCCTGAAAGATGTTTTATATGTTCTTAATATATCATTCAATCTATTTTCGGTTACCCAAATGTTGGATAAAGGGTTTATTCAGACTGCCAATGCAAACACATCAATTATCGAAATGGCCAATAGTGTGAGGGTCAAAGGGGGTGAAGAATTTTATGAATAAAATAATCATTTAAAGAAGAAACTAAAAACTTTAGATAAAATAATATTTCGAACTTCACCAAGATTTTATCTACAAAAACGAATGAAACAGCAGAATTTTGAAAGGAAGTTGATTTCCTTTCCCAGGCGAACTGGTGATGAGCTGATAAGGTTGCACCCAGGATGTAAGAGAGAATAAAAAGGGCCGTTTTCGCGCCACTCGGGGGGCAGACCAATTCGAGCAGTAGACAGATTGAGAAGTGTCCTGCCATATGCTCCATACAAGATCTCTGAAGCTGTCCATAAAGTAGGAAACTGCTATACTAGGAAGAATACTTAAGAAGTCATACATACGACATACGACGTGGATATACTGAAGTATAACATACGAGAAGATAATCGGAAGGAAAGATAACTGAATAACCCCAATAGAAAATACAAGAAGAGGTATACATAAGGAAGGAAGGCGATCTTCGTGCAGATACAGAAGCTACAGAAGGTAATACAAGCTCTGAATAGATCGATGTAAACTCTCTCACACGTTAGGTTAGAAATAATATAGTTTAAGTTAGAGTTAGATATAGGTTAGATCCATCTTTGTATATTCTTATTATTCGATTTATTAAATATTTACTTGTTTACATAATGACTTGGTTTTTGGTGAACATCCATTTATATTTAAGTTCCCACGTTTCTTCAATCTCCGAGATTAGGGATAACGCGTGTTAATCCACGTGTAAAACAACTGATTAACTGGTGTCTAGGAATCCTGACGTTGGATAAAGACTTTGCCGTCTATATCCTCTCTAATATTAAAAAGCCCTCCCGGTCAAAATCCTAATTAGGATTGGATCTCTCGATCCAAAACCCAGAGAACAGATTTCGGTTAATCTGAGCCCGTAAGAGGTATAGGATCAACCCTATACCCCCGGCTGATCTCACAATAGAAAGGAGCAAATAGCAGTAGCACAATGACATGAAGAATTATATCAAATGATGATCCGCAGAGAGGACACAGTGAATGTGCATGATAGCCAACTCAATCAAAGTCTGGCACGAAATATAAGATATATTGATGACTGGGACAACAACGTTTGTATTGGCTGTGTCTACGGTGAACAACATCATATCTCTCACCCAAGAAATAACAAGGTAGCAAAGGAAGTATTGGATCTGATACACGTTGACTTAGGTGAAATGGACACCTTATCTCTGGGAAAGGCAAGATATTTTCTCTTATTCAAGGACGACTTTTCTCATTTTAGGACTGTTTATTTTTTACGAACCAAGGATGAAGTCCCTGCAGCATTGGGTAAATACATGAAACTAGTTGAAAACCAATTTGGAAGAAAAGTGAAAAGTCTAAGGTCTGACAACGATACAGAAATCAAAAATTCGACTACCAGGGAGTTATTGGAGGAGCTTGGAGTTTACATACTAGGACAAACACGTATACACTGCAGCAAAATGGACGAATAGAGAGGGAGATGCACACCATAGTGGAGTCAGCTTGATCTGTTTTACATGCCAGGAACTTAAGCGAAAATCTTTGGGCTGAAGCTATTAACTATGCTGTGTTCACCATTAATCAAACAGGAAAGAGCTCTATAGATGATAAAAGTCCTGCCGAACTTTGGTTTGGACGTATGGTAAACATCTCAAAATTGAAAAGTTTCGGCAGTGAGTGTTATATATTGATTGACGATCATAAAAGGAGAAAGATGGAGGGAAAGTCTATGAAAGGAATCTTCGTCGGATATGATCTCGATTCACCTTGTTATAGAGTCTACTTACCAGATGAGAAGGAGATTGTCTGCACTGACAATGTGATTTTCAATGTAAAGTCTGAAACTAAAGGAAACACTGCTGAAGTCGAGACCCACATGAAGGAAAAGGGAACAGAAGAGAAGATAGAAGAGTCCAAAACTGAAAACGAAACCATAGAGGATTCAGATGATAAATGTTCACAGAATCATTCACGACACATCACTTTAGAAGAAACTGATGAAGGACTAGGACCGCCAGAGGAGATTCAACGAAGTTTATGAAATCGCCGAAAACTAAATCAAAACAGCCGAAAACAGCATCCAGTAAAATGAAAGTGACAGTTTTTGATGTTAAGACAGCTTACCTACACGCCAATCTCAAAGAAGAAATATATATGAACCAGCCAGAAGGATTCTCTGATGGGACAGAAAAGGTTTGCAAGCAAGATTTAAAGCAAGCCGCCAAAGATTAGAATGACGAAATCTCTGACTTTTTTCTTACGATAGGAATTGTTAATATCGACAATGACCCATATGTTTATTACAACAACGACAGAAGTGTGATAATAGTATTGGTCATAGACAACGGGTTCATTGCCACCCAAAACGAGGAGGATATTTTCAAGATTTTGAAGTTACTGAATGACAAGTTTGAAATTACTTATAAAAGAACTTTACAATCATGTATGACATACTTAGGTATGAAGATCGAAGTGCCGTCTGAAGGAATTTTTGAGTCAACCTGATTACACAGAAAAGATCTTGAAACGATTTAGGTATGATCGAGTGAACGCTGTGAATACACCGATGGAGCCAGGAATGAAAACGAATTCTGAAAACCTTATCAATGACCAGCCACTAGAAAAACAAAATCATTATCTCCAAGCCATCGGAAGCTTGCTTTATTTAGCAACAATCTCTTGTCCAGATATAAGCTACGTCGTCAATTATCTGAGTAGATTCAGTAATCAACCCTTAACAAGTCACTGGAAGATGATTAAAAGAATTTTTCAGTATCTGAGAGGAACTACACATTTTGGAATATTTTTTTTAACCGAGATTCGAAGTTGATAGCATATACAGATGCGGATTACGGAGGAGACGCAAATAGTCTACATTCTACAAGTGGAGTTCTTATCATGAGAGGAGGTCCAATTGTATGGTATTCAAGAAAGTAGCATCTCATGGTGAACTCAACCACTGAAGCCAAGTATCGTGCAGCAGTTTCATCTATCGATGATATCTGCTGGGTGCGAAGAATAGGGATTGAACTGAGATTACTAAAGAATGAAGAACCTACTTTGTTGCTTGTCAACAATCAGTCAGCAATTCACATGCTTAAAAATACTCACCAAGGAAAGATAACCAAGGGTAAAAAGCGTATTGAGATTCAAAGAAAATTTATTCAGCAGCATATTGGCACGACTGTTGAATTGCAACATATTAAAAGCGTCGATCAGCTTGCTGACATACTAACAAAACCTTTGAATCGTGTAATATTCGAAAAGTTATGCTGTAATATGATTAAAGAGGAGTGTTAAGATTAATCATATTTATTATTATAAGTTGCGTTTAAGTCAAGCGCCACCTGTGTTTTTTTTTGTGTAGAAATCCAAGTCGAATGTGCACAGGTCAATAAAAAAAACGTTCGTTCTCGTTGATTAATCCCGCTATTTTTTTTCTTGATTTGTTCACGGTTACACGATAATACAACAATTTGGCATGGATTCTACAATGTGCTTAAGTGTTTCTAAGTCTAATGCACACCAGGCATTCACTAGACTTTCCTTTAGTTTGCATAGATTTAATGGAAGTGGACTTTGCTGGCAGATCTGTCATTCTAACATGTCCCATATGTTTTCGATGGGGTTAAGATTGGGTTCTGTGGTTGCCAGGGTAGGCAGCGAAAGTCGTCTTCATGCTTGCTGAACCACTGCTGAACAATTTTTGTGCAATGGACAGTAGCAATGTCATCAAAGAAAGAACAGTCACATGCAGGAAAAATGCAACATTGCAGGATGAACTCGATCAGCAACAATGTTCAGGTACTCGTTGGAAGTCACCCAACCTTCCAGGAATATCAGCGGACAAGTTCCATCCCAACAGAGCATGCCCCATACCATAACACCCCCACCAGAACCTTGAGTCATGCTAATGAGGCAGGCAGGGTCCATTACTTTACAGAGCTCCCTCCAAACTCTCTGTCTATTGTCAGTACAGAATAAGGTGTACCAAGATTTACTTTTTTTTTCAGTCCTTGGATGTTTAATCACAGTGGTCTTAGCACCACTGTAGATGAACTTTCTGGTTCTTCACAGAAATCAATGGTTTTCGTGTAGGCCTACAACTGTTCATACTGATCCTTTTCAGTTCCCTGCACATAGTTTGGGTAGATATGGGTCAGAGACAAGATTCATTAAATTCTTTCTCTGTGCAGCAATTGATGGAAGTCTTTTTTTCCACACTAGCCTTTTCAGACAATGTCAGTCGCATTCCTGATTAACTGTTTTAGAGCCACGGTTACTTCTTTTATACATAGACTGTGGGCTATTTTTCTACCGATTGAACACTTGTGATATCTCATCTTCGGGGGAAAAACCAATCAGCTTTACAGTTCTTGATATCATGGCTCCAGCAAGACAGGCACCCATAATCAACCCTTTTTGAAACTCCGTCAAGTCCTTCGCTTTTCCCATTTTCGTAAACTTAATGACCATACTGACCAACAGCATTCTTAAATAGGAGCTTATGAACACCTGGTAACTCACATGATGCAAGTGTTTTGCATATAATCTGCAAAATTAATTTACTTAATATACATGGTGGCCATGTATATTCATTGGCCAGTGAGTGTATATATAACATAAATTATTGTAATTTTTATAATTACAATATTTTTAATTAGAATTACAAGATTACTCATGATAAATAACAAATATTCAGATTTTCAAACACCAGTTAATATTATATACATTGATATTTGAACGTCAGTTAACAAAACAGATTATAAACAGATAGAAAAACATGCCTCAGATTTTTATAAATTAGTTAAAATTTCAGTTTTAAATTATTCTATTTGAATACTTCAGATACTTCAAATCTTATGCTTGACTTGGTTTAAAATATTTAAAATTTCATATATTTTAAAATAGGAAAGCTTCCAGGAAAAATTGTCCACTCTGTCGAGAAGAAACCTCAGAAAACTTAGAAGAGACTTGGATTATAGCAGAAGCTCCAGATCCATCAGAAATAGATTCAGAACTACAAAAAACACTGTTAAATCTTACAAATAATCCTCAGAATTAATTAGTCAGTTTTATAAATTTAATTTTTACTTAGACTATAATTAACTTCCTGATAATTATAAAAATTGTATTTTTATTTTATTATCTCTCTAATACTTTCTAATTTTTCCAATTAACATTAAGAATTCTTCAATAATAATGAATTTTTATTAATTACTTTTTAAATTGATATTTAAGGATTATTTCAAAAACTTTTTCCATAACTGTATTAAAAATACTACTGATCTACAGTTTTAAAAAAATTGATCAAATGATATAGAACTTTACTTTTTTCTATAAAAAAATTATTTCCAGTATTCTAATAATAAATTATTTCCAAAGCACTATACACTCAATATTTCTCAGCCCTAGAACAACAATATACAAGTAAACAAAACAATATACTAAATATTTACAAAACAACAGTGTTAATTAATAAATTACAATTATATAAAGGAATAAAATTAATAAATTTTATAAATTTTATTTAGTTTGTAACTATGTACAATAATATATATAATTAAGGGCCAAGGACTTCAAGGTTATCACTGTTTGAATTAATGTAAGTTTTTTTAAAATCATGATTGACATTAAAATTCTTTTATCAACTATAATCTTAAAGAATGCATTCAAATTAACCTGATCCTTGTATTTTTATTCATCCTATTTTAAAATTGTAAATAATTTCATTAATGTTTATGTATTAATTTATTTCAGTTTTAATTTTAACTGTTTCAAATTAATATTTATTTTTAATTGATTTGAGTTTATACTATTGAAATTTTTTTTTCTTTTGATCTATTTATATTTGATCTATTTATTACTGTGACAGTCTACTCTTCCTATGATGTATTATAATAATATACTTAGAATAACATTAATGTAATAGCTTATCCTTATGCTGTTTTATAGGTATAGGATTGTTTTAATGTATGCAGAAAAGAATCAAACATTCTGTTCTACAGAACATCATTATTGCTTTGGTTTTTACCTTAATTTTCTGTATTCTGTTTGACTGACTATGTAATAATTAAACACTCAATACAGTTTTTGCTTTTTATATTTTCATATTTAAAATTACTTAATTACATAAATTGTTCTTATCAACTTTCTTGAAAAGATTTAGTCTATATAAGCATGGTATATAATTTTATTATATATATCTTGATCAAATTTTGTTTATTTATTTATTAATCTTGTGTCTATATACAGTATATATTTTATTTCTAATATTAATTACAGTAATGAAGTTTTTTTTAATTGCTGATGGCACACTAAACTGGATGCAATGATTAAATATAGGTATGATCTAATAAAAATTTTAATTTGATGGCATAGAAGTATTTTAGTAGATTACTGTGATATTTATAATTTTTTGCAATATTACAAACAAGTCTTTATTTAAACTTTCAAGTAGCATTTTCATAGATATATACATTTAAGCTAATAACTGAAGTGAACTAGGTAACCTAATATCTTAATAGTTGGACTTATTGTAATAAAACAACTTATTTAGATAGGAAAAGAAAATAAGATTTAAAAAAATTGTATAATTGAAATATCAAGCATTTTTCACTAACTTGGGATAAAATTTTTCTTTTTGTAATAAATTTTTTATAATTTGAAAATGTCAGTTACTTGTAATTTAGAAGATAATACACTGATCAAAGCAATTACAGAAAGATGCTACACAGAAAATCATTTACAATGAACAATTTTGAATGTCAGATGTTATTTTTCAAAAGATAATTATACTAATGTGTGAAAGAATATGCATTTGGGCCAAATTATTGTCATGTATTTCACTGGCTTGTACATTTTGCCAAAATCACATGCTCCATAATTGTTTTGATCAGTGTAAGTATTTAATAATGCAAATTATGCATTAAAACTAAATATAATTAAGAAAATGACCAAGAATGATTAAATATTTTAGAATTTTTAAAAAATTTACTATTTTAGAAATTGTGTATTAATGCACTATTAAAAGTAAATTACAGTAGAGCATTGATTATCCGAATGCCAATCAATCGAAATGTCGGTTAACCGAAAGCGTTCTGATTGGACTGTGTTGTGCTTAATCGAACAGTTTTGATACTATATTAACTTCTAAAGTATAATTTTTTTTCTTTTTATATTTTTCAATATATTTATTTTGCATGTACAAAATAAAGAAATAATTTTTAATGATACTATAGCCACAATTATTATTATAAAAATTTTTGTTAGGCTTAACATTGACAAAAATTCAATGCAAAGCGACATGCAACAAAGAAAAATTTAAACATGGGACATACTATTATTGGGATATATTAATATACTATATTAATAATGTACTTTTTTGTACATAATCAGTTATCCAAAAAATCGATTTTCTGAACAACCTTAGTCCCCAATTGATTTGGATAATCAACGCTCTACTGTATTTAAAATTTAAATTTGGAAATCTCATATAACCTCTTTTAATTCATATTCTTATATAAATTCAATTTAATTTTTTCACTATTTACTTCTTATTGAAACCATTAAACAACATAGATGTTTTCATATTTTATCTTCAAATGGCATAACACAAAAATCTTGAAAACTAACAAGTCATCTATTTACATGAAACAGCAATAGCCAGGAAACCCAGTTAACATGTTGACTGTCATATGAAGCACATGTGACTTGCATTACTCATAACTGAATAGGCTATGCCATACACATATATTGCGTGTAGTATTTTACTCCAAGCAAAGTTGCACACAAGCAAAATTGCCTCACATTAGAATAGAAATGCTTTGTTAAATGAAAGTAGGCAGCCTAGTGAACATATTGTTTCTGTTGGCTTGGCTCTAACTAAAATACTTGGAATCTAATAATGAGAATAAAAATAAATATATATATTTTGCATTGTTGATTTATTTGTATTTGTTTTATTTTGTTGTGTATATATATATTTTGTTCAGTAAATAATAAATAAATAAATGTGATGTAGTTTTGGAGACTAAATTTTTATTTTAGTTTAGAAAATAAGCAAAATACATTGGTGAGGGTACATAAATAAAAGAATTAAAAAAATAACAGTTGCACTGCTAAACATAACTATAATGTTCATGTATGAACACTAGTGAAAGAAAGTATGCAATAAAATTCATTACACTGAACCCACTTATAACAAGACAAAGTAACCTTTGAGGTTTCATATTTCCTGCCATATAGCTCAGATATGTTTTTTATAGCAAGCTATGCATTTATGTCTACTTGTAGTATTCACTTCTTCAATGAAATGTTTTTCTGCTGATGTGGGCTTTTCTTTTTCAGTTTTATGAGGCAAATCTTAAGCAATTTCTCTAAATTGAATGATATTTTTTATCAGCAACCCTTTTGTACAGTACGAATGTATTTGTGATTGTTGAATCTACAAAATTTTCAATAGTTAGTTTTGTGGTACTATTTGATAGTATGTTTGAGACAAGAACCATAGTCTATTTGATCAGATAGATCAGTGTTTCTCAACCTCTAATGAATCGTCGCCCCCTTCAATAAAACCGTTACGTAGTATCGCCCCCTTCACTTCAAAATTCCGATGCCGTGGGCCAGGGCTAATGCCAAATTCTTACTTAATTGAATAGACTAGTGACTAGTATAATATTATTTGTTTAATTATTGTACAATAAAACAAATAAAATATTTAATTAATCTTAATATAATGTTTTACTATATCGCCCAGAAAATTATTTTCCGCCCCCAAAATATAAATTGTTACAAATCGCCCCCTCAACATGGAAAAACGCCCACATGGGGGCGATATTGCCCCCATTGAGAAACACTGAGATAGATCAATGGAACTTTTACTTTTGGTTATAGTGTCTGATAACTGTCAGTATCTCTTTTTCAATTCCATTTTCTTACATGACAGAAACCATGTTATTTATGTTTTGTTGTTAGCATCAAAACTTTGCATTTATCACACCACTTTAGTATCATCACTCCTGAGATACTTGTCTTAGAAATAACTTCATTGTTTTTCAGTTTTTTTTCCTACAACAACTTTTGGGTTTCCTTTTCGATTTTTTCTCAATGTGCCTACAAGATGAGTTGTCCAACAATTTATGAGCAAGGCCAATGTTGATATAATAATTATCAACAAATATACTATGTCCACTATCCAACAAATTTTTGCAAAATCTCATAACTATGGATGTTGGCATGCTGTCAGAGAGATGTTTTTCTGTCCTGCAGTATATTTTGAAATCTTCAGGTTTAGACATGCCAATATAAAAAGTTTGTTTTCTAGGCCACATGATGCACACTTGCTTCACACTTCAAAATCTTGTTTAGAGAAAATAAACTATCATATTGAGTATGACTTGTTAACCTATGATATTTCTCAAATTCTTAAATGAAAAAAGTGTTGTCCCAGAGATTGCAAAAACTTATATCATTACGGTAGTCAACATGTTAAAAGCAACAAACTGTACTATCACAAACATTTCAACACACTTTCTACTACCTGGAAGGTATATGTTATATTAATGTATATGTTATAAAGTGGGAAATTATAAGTCCTATTAACATAAGTCCCAAGACTTATAATTTTTGCACTTGTCCAGTTTGGCTATTTATTTTAATTCATATATTCGTTTTAAAACTTGCATTCATTCTTTTGTGAAAATGTTCTGCTTGGTTTAAATTTTATGTTTAAAAGTGTTCTATTTGGTTATGTACCATTACCTGATGATGATAATTGGAGACAAATGAAAATATTTGTAATAGTAAAATTTGTTGCTTTTAAGTGGTTTTTTGGATGTATGTGTGATATTACTGTTACGTGTGACCAGTTTGATATGGTATGAATATTTACATGAAAATATTCATTAAATTTTTACATTTTAAATTTAAATTAATCTTTTTGGTCATGTCTACTCAAAGTAGAATGATTAAAACAAAAATGGACAGTATAATAATTTCTATAAGAAATCATTATAGAATCTTTTGTTACATTCATCATTGTTACATTCAAATCTTTTGTTACATTCATTATTGAATTTAATACAAAAAATAATAATAATAATAATGTCTTTGGTTTTTTATATATATTTGATCTAATCTGGCCCTTAAATATATATATATGCATGTGTCAGTGCTAACTTAATGGTAACTTGCATAACTTGCATCTGAGATGAAACTATATAAATATACAATATGCTATTCAATAAAAATATCAAACTGCCAACTACTATACAATGAATTAGGATAGTTTTATATTTATTAATAGATTAATATCTTTTACATTAAATAGTTAGTTAGAAATTTATTAACATAAATTAGTTAAAATCAATTAAAATAATTTAGTGAAAGTGAAAAGATAAATTCTCATCACATTGTCAGTGAGTACAAATTATTATTTAATGAATTTATTACATTAAAAAATTTCTGTTTTTAATTATGGCACATGCATTATTTAATATATAAAACATACTTTTGTATGCTTTCTTATATTTTCATTATAAGATACAATATAGATTTTAGTATTATATGTTTGAATTGTATTCTACAGAAACATTTTAAGTGAAAAGTATTTAATATTATTAGGCTTTTCTTAAATTAGATGTTGTACATAATCTGATTTAATGCATTGACATTTAAAAATTATCATTGCAAATAATTGTAATTGTTTTATGTTGTTAAAAATATTTGTTCAATCTGTAGTATGCTTTTCTATATTCTTCAGTTATCTTTATATGATTATCTTGTGTAAACAAATTTTATAGGTAGAGTACAAATTAATTTATAAATATAATAGAAATAAGTATTTTACAAAGTCAAGATGAAATAGATATATGCATAACATTTTGAGATCTAAACAGAAATCTCAAAACAATACACATCTTCAGGTAATGTGATATAATATACCACACTGTGTATATTTGTTGTTAAAAGTTGAATAGATTTTAGTAAGTTAGAATCATTCATAAATATTGATGCCATTTTTGAAATTTCATATGTACAAAATTGACTTTACTAGATACAAATTCAAATACAAAAAATTAAATATTAAAATTGTTACTTATATAAATACTAAAAACAATTATTTCACTTTACAAAAAGTAAAGGAATTTATGGTGCTTACCATTTATATGAAATTTATTAGATATTGAAGATCTTGTTATATACTTAGAATTTAAGCATTAATTTCATTTAAGAGATAACTATAAGATTGTATATTTCTATATAAATGGTTACATAAGCTGTCCACCCAGAATATTATCAAGGAAGAATAGCTTCATGATGATAATTTAAAAATAAAGCCATCCATTAAAAAAAATCAAAGTAGATTTAAAGATGCATATTTTACCTGGTTGTAAATTCAAATATTAAATTGAACTCTGAACTTCTGTGACATGTTTTAGGATTTTTTTTAGTAATTTTATCATTTACCATAATTTGATTATTGGAATAATAATAATAATAATAATAATTTTACAAAATAGTTAAATTTAAAAAACTACAATTTATGATACTTTTTGCATTTCTCTTTAAAAAATTATATTAATGGTTGTACCAAAAAGTATTTAGTGATTGATAATTTATATTTTTATAAAATAATTGATTAAGATTCTATATTGTTTTGTTTTTATAAAAGATTAAACATTTTCAATGTATTGATTTGTATATAATCAATAGTTTCGTGGAAAATTTGCTTACAGATCAAATTTGCTTAAATCAATCATTATTATTGTAATGGATAGAACTTTTTGATATTTTAATTGATTATCTATATATATATAAATGGACATGTATGTCCCTATATTTCACTTTTCCACCAAAACCACACATCGCACGTGAATGGTGTTTGTATGTGGTAGTAGCCCCAAGTCTTCATTCGTGCATAGAGGTGGTTGCGTCTCGATAGCTATAAGGGTGCAGGAGATATGGGCTTGAAAGTGGTTGAAAGTGGCTTTCTATTTTGAATGTTTTGTTTGAATTTGTTCGAATTTAATTTGAACAATGTTCGAATTTGTTCGAACAATATTCAAATTAAATTCGAACATAAAATTCAAATATTGGTTCGATTATAGAACGATCGTAAACGTTCCAGAAACGTTGAAAATAGTTCGTTTGACTGGACACGAACAGGAGACGTTCAGAAATAGAATCGGGACCAGGTCTTTAATTAGTCTGGAAATGGGGGACCTAATTCTTGCATTCTGTGAAAACGGGTAA